ATCCACAGAGAAATATGAAGTGAGTCAGTCTGGTGTTGACAAAGGCTTTAACAAAGCCGAAACGTTCACCTCATTTCATATTTCTCTGTGGATTTTCCGCATATATATATATATATATATATATATATATATATATATATATATATATATATATATATATATAGAGTTCGTTCATTCTTCGTTCTGAATATTAATATTTTTCTTGAATAATTTCTAAAGAAAGTAATGTATTACATGGATTTCCTCGTAGTTATTATTAATAAAATATATATATATATATATATATATTATATATATATATATATATATATATATATATATATATATATATATATATATATATATATATATATATATATATATATATATATATATATATATATATATATATATATATATATATATATATATATATATATATATATATATATATATATATATATATATATATATATATATATATATATATATATATATATATATATATATATATATATATATATATATATATATATATATATATATATATATATATATATATATACATATATATATATATATATATATATATATATATATATATATATATATGTCGTACCTAATAGCCAGAACGCACTTCTCAGCCTACTATTCAAGGCCCGATTTGCCTAATAAGCCAAGTTTTCATGAATTAATGTTTTTTTCGTCTACCTAACCTACCTAACCTAACCTAACCTAGCTTTTTTTGGCTACCTAACCTAACCTTACCTATAAATATAGGTTAGGTTAGGTTAGGTAGGGTTGGTTAGGTTCGGGCACATATCTACGTTAATTTTAACTCCAATAAAAAAAAATTGACCTCATACATAGAGAAAATGGTTGCTTTATCATTTCATAAGAAAAAAATTATAGTAAATATATTAATTCAGGAAAACTTGGCTTATTAGGCAAATCGGGCCTTGAATAGTAGGCTGAGAAGTGAGTTCTGGCTACTAGGTACGACATATATATATACATATATATATATATATATATATATATATATATATATATATATACATATATATATATATATATATATATATATATATATATATATATATATATATATATATATGCGAACAAGCCTGAATGGTCCCCAGGACTATATGCGAATGAAAACTCACACCCCAGAAGTGACTCGAACCCATACTCCCAGGAGCAACGCAACTGATAACTACAGGGCGCCTTAATCCACTTGACCATCACGGCCGTCAAAAGGAAGTGATAGCCGAGGCTATTTGAGCCACTTCCCCGACGGCAACTCGGATGGTAATCTTGGGCATAGCATTTCACCAAATCACCTCATTCTTTGGGGCACACGTGAGGAACACAAATGCGAACAAGCCTGAATGGTCCCCAGGACTATATGCGAATGAAAACTCACACCCCAGAAGTGACTCGAACCCATACTCCCAGGAGCAACGCAACTGATAACTACAGGGCGCCTTAATCCACTTGACCATCACGGCCGTCAAAAGGAAGTGATAGCCGAGGCTATTTGAGCCACTTCCCCGACGGCAACTCGGATGGTAATCTTGGGCATAGCATTTCACCAAATCACCTCATTCTTTGGGGCACACGTGAGGAACACAAATGCGAACAAGCCTGAATGGTCCCCAGGACTATATGCGAATGAAAACTCACACCCCAGAAGTGACTCGAACCCATACTCCCAGGAGCAACGCAACTGATAACTACAGGGCGCCTTAATCCACTTGACCATCACGGCCGTCAAAAGGAAGTGATAGCCGAGGCTATTTGACCTTTCCTTTTGACGGCCGTGATGGTCAAGTGGATTAAGGCGCCCTGTAGTTATCAGTTGCGTTGCTCCTGGGAGTATGGGTTCGAGTCACTTCTGGGGTGTGAGTTTTCATTCGCATATAGTCCTGGGGACCATTCAGGCTTGTTCGCATTTGTGTTCCTCACGTGTGCCCCAAAGAATGAGGTGTTTTGGTGAAATGCTATGCCCGAGTTGCCGTCGGGGAAGTGGCTCAAATAGCCTCGGCTATCACTTCCTTTTGACGGCCGTGATGGTCAAGTGGATTAAGGCGCCCTGTAGTTATCAGTTGCGTTGCTCCTGGGAGTATGGGTTCGAGTCACTTCTGGGGTGTGAGTTTTCATTCATATATATATATATATATATATATATATATATATATATATATATATATATATATATATATATATATATATATTACCTCGATGAGGACAGGAAGCCGGTGGCATGTAAGTTTTCCCCTTCCTGATTTATCCTGATGATTTTATGCATTTGGATCATAAATTACAGAACAGTTTTGGCATTTACTGGCATTTACAGCTTCTGCTGGTAGGAAGTTCCTTAGGATAATAACCCTGAGAGTGCAAAAACATCTTCTGTTTTCTCTCCCTCACTGTGGCTTGTTGAGCTTGAAATTGTGGCTCCTCGTTTGAAATACATGTGACCTTTTTTGCAGGAGTGACCCGAATTAATATTCTCCAAGACGTTTAATACTTTTTAAAGTTTCGATAGACTGAGCTCTGTTATGTCTGGTTTGCGTGTATTAGCTCTGTTGCACTCAATCGTTCCTAGTATGGGAGTCGACTCAGCTAAGGAATAATTATGTCGTTATGTATAGATATAGTGATGATATCCATACAAATAACCAGATAAATAACAGAGATATCCGGATAAAACAACGCAAAGTGACCTGAATGACTATTCTTAAATGATCAAAACAATTTATAAATCCGAATAGATCGACACAACAGATTTTATTTCTTCCCCGGATGAACACGAAAATTAAAACATTATTAAAACATTTTTTTTTGCAGCGAAGCAGATCTTTAGTCATCACTAATGTTGGCGAGACCGTTCTGGCGCTGAACTAATAACAGGATCGCTGTCATTATCTATAACATGATCGTTGGCGCAATCAATATATGGATTACTGATTCAACCAATAACAGAATCACTGACTCAACCAATTGTAGGATCACTGATTCAACCAATATAAAAATGTTGTGGATTCCTTCTCATATTGACCTGCATGAACATAACAAAGTTGACGCCCTGGCTAAGGCTGCAGTAAATAAAGACAGTATTGAACTGTCTTAAGTTATCAAATAGGTCCCTTAAAAGTGTCATTAGACGAGAACTCCTGGATGGATTTGAAGAAAGTAGAACAGTGCAAACTGGAACTAGCAGGTCCGTTGTTTATCACAATGAAATGTGTGAAGTAAAACATGTGTATGGAGCAAGTAACAAAGTAAGTAGACTAACAGATGTTGTCACAGCTCGTATAAGACTTGGCTACAAGTATCTCTGGCAGTTCGGCTTGTATAGGGATCTAGATGAAGTAAAGTGTAAAGTGTGTGGACAGAGACAGGGACACACACTCGAACACTATATCTTGAATTGTAGTAAAATTGAGCCATTTAGAGATAAATCTAAGCTCACGCTGTATGATATGGCAACCTATCTTATTACCATGGATAAAAGACATGAAATCCTTGCACTGTATCAATATTTCGCTTCCAGTAGATAAACGACATATGAGACTAAGAAACAAGTAGTGTATTGTGAAGACTAATAATAAACAGAAGCTCTCCTATATCTCTGTAATATCTCCACTGGTCAAACTATTATGTATTAGCGATAAAACCCACCATTAATGTATAATGACTTACTGTAAATATATAGCTCTAAAAATAGAACTTTCTCTGTAACTAGCTGACATGTAACTATACGGTGTGAAGGATAGAGGAAATTGTTTATGTATTAATCGAAGATGAGGTCTGATAAAGACCTCTTGTGCCCTTTGTAATACTTTTTGCGCTACCGCTCACAGGATGAGTATGGGGTGCACAATAAACTAGTCGCCTCCGGCGGCAACAATCACATAAAAAACTAATAACAGGATCACTGACACAACTTTAGAAAGCCTTGATTTCTATTTCACCTTTCTCAGTACCAGCTTTTTTTATTGAAAGTCGAGAATCAATTGTTGACCAGACCACACACTAGAAGTTGAAGGGACGACGACGTTTCGGTCCGTCCTGGACCATTCTCAAGTCGATTGTTGAGACCAGACCACAACTTCTAGTGTGTGGTCTGGTCAACATACTTCAGCCACGTTATTGTGACTCATCGCCTGCACGAGAATCAATTCATTACAATATCATACCTTGGCTTTAACAAACTTCATTCGTATTTTACGGAACGTTTAATATATGTTCCTACGTTAAAAGTAAGAGCTCACGAAAACTGTAGATCTTTCAACAATCATGGTGGCTATTTATTTAAAATATATTAATCAGTTTACGAGTTCTGAAACATTACAATTGAAGACTATTTGTTGCTATAAATATCATCGATTGCATCAGAGCTCATAAACTGATTAATTAAATGAAAAACAAAGCTGCTATGATTGTTGAAAGATGAACAGGTTTCGAAACTGGATACGTAAATGCTTGGTGAATCTTGGGCCAGATCTATATCACCGACACGACCCTTAATGAATAGTTTAAGGTCTATCAAACTCTGAAAGGTTGTTAGGGACACCACACTAGTTGACTGACATTGCAGCATGTTTTGTTTAGTCTATAATTTAACCCGGAATTAAAGTAAACTTTTGGCACATATAGACCGAGATATACCGGGGGTATATCTCACAGGTGAATATATAGCCCATGCTGATTTACATCTAATGATCTGCATTAAGTTGCAAAAGTAATAGTTACTCTAGAACACCGATTTCAGCAGATATAAGTAGTTTATTTTTTAATTCATTCCCATTATATTTCATTGTGTTTCCAGTGATTCATAACTCATGTGAGGTTTAATATACCAGATTTTATATATTTAAATAAAACTGAATAAGTTGTGGATAATCCTTGAAGAAAACTAAAGAAGAAACTAATCTTTGTTAATGGCGGGGAGAACAAGGCTACAAAAGAGGTGGCTCTGTAGTCACAAACAAGGCTATTGGAACAGGCAGGTATATCAGTAGTTATACTTTTTAATGGCAGGAAGAACAAGGCTACAAGAATAGACTATTATATCAAAATTCATTCAAGGAAAGCGATACACGCTCCATGCCCTCAAGGACATTAATAACACAATTGAGAAAGACAAAATCGATAAGTTTTAAATTGCCTTATTACAAACTTCTAATCGAAAAAGTTATAATAACAACATAACATGTGTTTAAAAAGATAGTTCTCTTGTGCGTTATCCATAACGAGATAACACAAAAGTATCTGTATAAATAAATTTTACTGTTAATAACATGTTATATGTAAAAAAGAAATGGTAATGAGGAACATTATCCAATTATATATATATATATATATATACACAATAGAAAGAGTCCTCATAATGATGTTACCAGTACACTAACCCCGAGTAAGTAGTAACTATCGCTAATCTACACTTGTATGACACAACACCAGGGTGTCAATTGGCACTCTGACACGAGTTCGTGTTATGGCACAATCGCTTTGACTAGAATATGTAGCGCAGCCGACGACACTCACGACCTCTGGACGTGATAGCCATACTAGCTACAGCCTCTGGCGTTCCACGTACATGATATGTCTCATACCTGGTGTGTGATATCTCACACCACGTTCACTACACCAGCATAGACAATCTCAAATGTGAGAAAGATATCAGCGGTATCTACCAACGCTTTCGTTACTGACAGCCACACGAACGGCATCATCATCACACGATCCATGGATATGATAGCACATGCTGCTATCTCTCACAACCCTCCTTACCCCTCCAGCCTTCCCTATCCGGAGCCAGGCACCAGTGGTCCTACAGGAGATACGAAATTTTATCCGAGAATTCGAATCAGTATTTTCTTACTGAGAAGATATTGTTTCTTTCACCAGAAAAAACTAATTACTAGTTTATCATTCTCATTGCATGTGTTACTGCCTCCTTTTGGGATTATTCTTGTAATCGAGCGTCATTCCTAGCCATGAAGGAACAGAGGCTCGTGGTCAATATTATCGGGTTAAAAGCTTATCTCGGTATTAAAGTAAAAGGTCTGGACACACAGGGAAGCGGATAACGGGGGTCAAAAACCTCTGATAACGGCAGGGAATTTCTGGCATGCAATATATTTCTACCGGAACGTGAATATTTTGTGCTATATCCCAGAAGATCAAAGAGCAATGGTTCTCTCGTATCTCCGTGGCCACACGCAATTGATCTCATTTTATCCGTGCTATGAAATCACACTTACACTTACACTTCAGTAAGCACACACACTTACACACTGGCACTCGCATCAAACGACCCAAGACGACAAGGGCGAGTCATATTTTTGTATTAACTGTCTCTTGGAGTCAAATCACAAACTACGTCTATGGAGCGAGGCACCGGTTCGGGCGCATAATACGCAAGATAACGTACCATTAGTGTATGAGTTACAATATATGCAGCCTTCGTTTTCAATTTTTTTTTCAACACTGTCATGTAGTATTTTCTAACCATTATCAGCAGACGGCGAATTGAGTGTGGGATTGATCTTGCCAGTAAGTAGGAGGCTCTGCCCCTAGGAGCAACAAGGCAACTTCGTCAGATTCACACATGGGAGACAGGTACGAGAAGGAATCCAAATTATCCTCAAACACTCCCGAATCTGAAGAATCACACAGCAGAGACATAAAGTCTGTCTCGGAAATAGCGTCAACGTCCATAGTCGGGGTCCTGGTGGATGATCTATGGTAGGGGTCCACTTGGGACTCCTGAAGCCTTGAGGCATCTTCCAGGAGACTGGAGAGGACCCAAGGACAGGTGTCCTCCGGTGCACTTCCCTCGCGAATGTGTTGGCTGACGGTGCTGTCAAGGATGTCTTGGAGAGACCTGATGTAGGCGCACGCGTGTTTAAGCGTGGTGATCTTCGTCATCTCCGAGCTGCTAGCACGGCCGCGATCCCAACTTGGAAGCATTTTCCGAAGCTTATCGAAGGCCGTGTTGATCTGTCGCATACGCGATCTCTCTCTAGTATTGGCCGTCTTCCTGCGGTACTTGGAAAGTGGCGCCGGACGCGACTTTTGCCGCCTGGTGTCCGGCAGAGTCCAGTCGTTGTCGCAGCCGTGACGGGCGCGGACTGATCGAGGACGTAGTAAATACTTCCCACTGCAGCCTCCCGGAGTTTTGCTGTTTGGTGATTCCATGTCTTCCCTGTCGTTATTGTTGTCGTCCACAATGTCTCTCGCTGCCTGGAGACCGCCCACTTGTGCTTCCAGTCTTGTCATATCTATGTTCATAGCTTACTTGTACACACAAGTTTGTAATATCCTTCACTAACACGCCACAGCTGGATTATCATCATAAGTGTTCTCTATTAAGTCACTCACTCCATTAAGTCTTGCGATTGGAATATTTCACAAACTTTCTTTTATGGACGACTTCGTTGCTACCTACAGAAGAAACAAAATATAAAAATCAATATAAATTCCATGATACGAAGATCCCTTTTTCTTAAAATAATAAGAAATTAAAGGTAAACCCAAAATATAGACTCAAAAATCATAACGAAACAACCTGCTTTGAGGAACAGGTATTGGTAAACCAAGCCACCCGCCCCCCCACCAACCTCCCAATATCCTACCTGGTCTTGGACTGAAACGGAGGTGAGCGCGGCACGTCTGCTCCTCCTGACTGTCGGTGGCCAACTGACCACATCTTCCTCCCACCTCGCTCCTTACACCCATTGCATTACTCCTCACACTTCACACTCCTCGAGCCAAACTGATGCTTTTCTTCGTAAATCATTTTAATCCTCAGGATTCACGTTCCTACAGCTACCTATCAGGGTTATTATGATTGTTGAACATCATATTCTTCATATATTATGATGTACCAGAAACTTCAATTAGTTAATTAGCATATCCCCGTTAGTAGCGACCATTTACAACATATTAAGTCAAAATGATGAGCTAAATGCATAACAGAAGAATAGTAAGTACATGGAATATACTCCATGGCTTGAGTGTCTCATTATATATATAAACAAAACAAAATATTGACGCAGTTGACCATTGGTGTGTGTGTGTGTGTGTGTGTGTGTGTGTGTGTGTGTGTGTGTGTGTGTGTGTGTGTGTGTGTGTGTGTGTGTGTGTGTGTGTGTGTGTGTGAAAATACATGGATGCGTGCAATTAGTAACAAATTCCAAACCCAATTACAAATATCGCACGATGTAAATCTTGACTGATGTTAACAAATACTGGTCGTATCGCAGCTGGCTAGCATCATGTTACTGAACAGTCACGCTGACAGTATCCGGTGTTCAGGAGATTTCAACGCGAAGCAGATAGGTATCCAAGCCTTCTCCTGTATACGAGTAAATCCGTTTTCTTTATTGTGTACCGTAATATAATTGTTCTCTTGGTAAACAGATAGATAGATAGATAGATAGATAGATAGATAGATAGATAGATAGATAGATAGATAGATAGATAGATAGATAGATAGATTGATAGGAGAGAGAGAGAGAGAGAGAGAGAGAGAGAGAGAGAGAGAGAGAGAGAGAGAGATAATGAGAGACTCAAGCTAAGGTCACAGGTACATCATTAACAAGCCGTAGCTCACATCTCTTCATCTTAGGTTATCCGTCGCTGTCCAACCACGAGACACGTTATCTCGTGTTACTCTGATATCTCGCTCATCTCACACACAGCTTCCTTCCCTCTTTAATACACTCCTAACTTCTTCCACCCGAGATAGCCAATCATTTGCTATCTGCCACAAGCTTCACCTCATCAGTCATCATAAATATACTTGGGAACCCAGCTGGTGCGTGTGATAGCGATAAGGGTTAATTTTGATTTAGCAGAATGGTCGATTGTATCATTGGATAGGAGGCATCACGCTGAAACCCTTCTTAAGTCGAAAGAAAATCGTCCTTCTTTTGTTTATCTGAAGGCTCTTGTTGGTTCAATGTAACGCTATTTATGTATTCAACTTTTCTCTTCATATCTGCGTCTTGACATCGTCTTGGAGACGTTTGCCATCACATCGTTATTCAGCTAATCGCTCCGTCATCTTCTTTCTCAGACCCTCAGGGGCCAGGTAGTTCTCCCCCCCCCCCCATATACTCCTCGAACACAATATCCAAACTGTTTACTAATTTTATTCGCGTCATCTTCATTCATTGAGAGATGACATCGCTGAGTGCAGCAGGTGGTGCTGTCGCTCCTCCACGCGGCTTCAAGGATCTCTGTCGCTCCTCCACGCGACTTCAAGGGTCTCTGTCGCTCCTCCACGCGGCTTCAAGGGTCTCTGTCGCTCCTCCACGCGGCTTCAAGGGTCTCTGTCGCTCCTCCACGCGGCTTCAAGGGCCTCTGTCGCTCCTCCACGCGACTTCAAGGGGTCTCTGTCGCTCCTCCACGCGACTTCAAGGGTTTCTGTCGCTCCTGACGCGGCTTCAAGGGTCTTTGTCGCTCCTCCACGCGGCTTCAAGGGTCTCTGTCGCTCCTCCACGCGGCTTCAAGGGTCTCTGTCTCTCCTCCACGCGGCTTCAAGGGTCTCTGTCGCTCCTCCACGCGGCTTCTAGGGGTCTCTGTGGCTCCGCCACGCGGCTTCAAGGGGTCTCTGTCGCTCCTCCACGCGGCTTCAAGGGGTCTCTGTCGCTCCTCCACGCGGCTTCAAGGATCTCTGTCGCTCCTCTATGCGGCTTCAATGGCCTCTGTCGCTCCTCCACGCGGCTTCAAGGGGTCTCTGTCGCTCCTCCACGCGGCTTCAAGGGGTCTCTGTCGCTCCTCCACGCGGCTTCAAGGGTCTCTGTCGCTCCTCCACGCGGCTTCAAGGGTCTCTGTCGCTCCTCCACGCGGCTTCAAGGGTCTCTGTCGCACCTCCACGCGGTTTCAATGGCCTCTGTCGCTCCTCCACGCGGCTTCAAGGGGTCTCTGTCGCTCCTCCACGCGGCTTCAAGGGTCTCTGTCGCACCTCCACGCGGCTTCAATGGCCTCTGTCGCTCCTCCACGCGGCTTCAAGGGGTCTCTGTCGCTCCTCCACGCGGCTTCAAGGGTCTCTGTCGCTCCTCCACGCGGCTTCAAGGGTCTCTGTCGCTCCTCCACGCGGCTTCAAGGGTCTCTGTCGCTCCTCCACGCGGCTTCAAGGGTCTCTGTCGCTCCTCCACGCGGCTTCAAGGATCTCTGTCGCTCCTCCACGCGGCTTCAAGGGTCTTTGTCGCTCCTCCACGCGGCTTCAAGGGGTCTGTGTCGCTCCTCCACGCTGCTTCAAGGGCCTCTGTCGCTCCTCCACGCGGCTTCAAGGGTCTTTGTCGCTCCTCCACGCGGCTTCAAGGGTCTCTGTCGCTCCTCCACGTGGCTTCAAGGGGTCTCTGTCGCTCCTCCACGCGGCTTCAAGGGCCTCTGTCGCTCCTCCACGCGGCTTCAAGGGTCTTTGTCGCTCCTCCACGCGGCTTCAAGGGGTCTTTGTCGCTCCTCCACGCGGCTTCAAGGGTCTCTGTCGCTCCTCCACGCGGTTTCAAGAGCCCTCTGTCGCTCCCCCAAGCCGCTCATTGTTCCAGTGGCGCTGTTGTTCCTACACGATACAAGTCTCCTTACAAGTTCTCCTCTGGGAATATATATTTGTTATTCTCGCTTGGCTCAATCGCCGCGTTTGATCCTGTCCGTCCTCTCTCTCCGTCAATCTCCTCAGAGACAAATTTCCCGGACGTGTGTGTGCTTCTTCACCTTCACCATTCTTCAACTACCTCCTACGTCTTGCTCATCCCTCCTCACCGGCACACCAGAGGCTGGCAAGTACACCCTGAGAGCCATTCTTCTTCGACTTCGGTTCGGCTCCTTACAGGTCCTGGTGACCTTGAGAGTCCGGTCAAGACTCGAAGGCCTCTGCCATATTAAGTCCTCATATATTTTACGTATGGTGCTGGTGGGTTCGTCTAGCATCGTGAAGCCGCAGTCATCAGTTGTGGATTACTGGGATGTGGGGTTATCCTTCTCCCAAACAGTGAACCGCTTGAAGTTCCATTTTGTAGATTCTATTGGTGACAAGTCTATATTATACTTAGGTGGAGCTTTGTGATTATAAGATATAATTATTATATATGTAAAATAATCGCGTTTGCGTTTATTTATTACTGATGAATTCCATGATGAATGTAACACTATGATGTGACATTATTTGTTTATATTAGAAAGAAACAATTCTAACAAACCATTGAGTTAATTTTATGTTAGTAAGTAAATATTGAGAAAATCAATTTAGAACAATGCGGGGGATTCGAACCAGCAATAAGGGTACTCCCAGCCGCATGCTCTAAACTTAAGAACCACGCTATGCTATAAAAAATGTAACCTGGAAGTCAACTGAATCCACTAAGGAAATCGAGGCATCGAGCTAATTCCAAATAAAAGGTTGACACCTCACCAACCTACACTTCGGTGGTTACCTTGAGGTTACCTTGAGGTGCTTCCGGGGCTTAGCGTCCCCGCGGCTCGGTCGTCGACCAGGCCTCCTGGTTGCTGGACTGATCAACCAGGCTGTTGGACGCGGCTGCTCGCAGCCTGACGTATGAGTCACAGCCTGGTTGATCAGGTATCGGTGTGACATGGTTGTTCCACCGTACGCTCCCTTCAAATGCACACTGCGTCCCTGTGTGTATTTAAAGGGAGTGAAAGGTGGTAAAACCCCGATACCACATCCGAAAGTACACGTGTAATGTTTAAAAAACTTTGATTTGCTGTCAGCTCGTTACCTCAAGAGGCTTGAAAACCCATGTTACGTTACTTAATGCATGCCATGGTCCAGTGGTTTAACGCATGAGACTGGGCGGATTCATGTTATTGGTTCAAATCCCGTTATTTCTTTGATTGATTTTCTAATTGATTTATCACTTCAGTGTCATTTCGTTGTGTAATTATTGTTATGTATTTTAAAGTTGCTCGAAGGCTTCGGGGTTTCATTAGACAGCACAAACACGTAATGCATTTTGAAGATGTATATTAACAGTGGTTGAATGTAATTTGTTTATGATTTTAACCGTAATAGCGTGTGTTTGTGTGATTTAATAAATGCTCCCTTGGCTTGCATGGGGAACCCAGGGTGGTGCAATTCACGGGATGAATTATATGAATGTTTGAAAATATTTCTTGCACTCGGCAGTAATGTGTGAGGGGAAGGTGGAGACTATTTCATACTTGAATGAGCTTTGCATAAAACCTAGAGGGACTACTTGCTCTCTCTCTCTCTCTCTCTCTCTCTCTCTCTCTCTCTCTCTCTCTCTCTCTCTCTCTCTCTCTCTCTCTCTCTCTCTCTCTCTTTCTCACTCTCGTTCTTTCTTTGTTTCTATCTACAGTTTTCAACAGTAAACTCAATTAATCCCTCAAGGATTCAAACCTAAGCCGCGTGGCTGGTAGCCCAATTCTTCCTATACCCGCTTTATCCAAAACAGCGATAAGTGTTGAGAGTTCGTCAGACTTACATGCAGCCAATCCCAAAAAAGCCCAAATAGAAATAGATATATTTATTATTTATATGTAGAGGTATATCTTAACAAGAGTTCAGGAGACTTCAATGCAGAGCAGAAACCTATCCATTCCTTATAATGTGTCCTCAGTTGTAATTAACTAATCACCTCTTTTAGCATGAGTGATACGTTTAGCCTTGTGCCCAAGAGAGAGAGAGAGAGAGAGAGAGAGAGAGAGAGAG